TTGTTCGTCCAACACCAACAAATACAATTCCATGGTCAAATCAATCACAACAACATTTTTATCCACCTCCACCACCACCTCCTCATCTTCATCATCATCAATTAAGACCTATTAGTTATCAAGCAAGTCTATCAACTCAATGTACATGTCCAACACATTATCATAGTAGTGGTACATCATCAACCGATTCAGGTTCAGCTTGTATTAATGGACAAAATTATCATATTTATCAAGAAATATTACATGATGATTATAATGTACAAAATAATCATCGAACCTATCGTCCTTTAAAAACTGATAGCAATTCACCACCAACATCAGTATCTACAAATACAACAATGAATTCTGAACAGTGTCAATTTTGTTCGCTTAGTGTACTTGTGTGAATTTTTCTTTTTTGTATTGTTTGTTTTTCAAATAATAAGAGTACTTAAATTTAAAATCAATTCTAAAATTTTTCATTCATCTTAGCTATTATAAATTTGATAGTTATATATCTATACAAACAACATACCATTTGATGATCATATAAATCTTATACGTTTTGATTTTCCATATATATATATATATAACGATAAAAAAATATATATGAATATAAACAAAACTGAGAGTCATGTTTTTTAGCATATGTTTGACAGATTCTGACCACAATATGTGTCTAGAATACATTTAGGTAATTTTACTTGATAGTTCATATAAAATAGTGATCAGTAGTGTTATGATTATATTTTTGTGGGAGAGGATGAGGTGGAGAAATGAATATAACACTCACTACCACCAACATCAGGAAATAGCATCAGATGTTTAAAATGTCTACGAAGCATAGATTTTGAGAAAGCTCCAATACGATAAACATTAGTTTAATTTCACTTCTCAATTGTCATCTATGTATAAAAATAAGTAGAAAGAAGACTTGTATTTTATATATGTTTATGTAACGAATGCAAAGTGAAACATCAATTGTTAATCAAGTTTGAATCTTTAATCTAAACTCAAACAGAAACTCATTCAATGAAGATCACCAAACCAGACTGTTTAGGTGCGGTTTACGCCTAGTGGCAAAGACTATATAGCCTGAGCAGTGTATGAAAATATACAATAAAATAGCTAATGTCTATTATTTCTACAGTTATCTATACAATATAGATGTATGAGTGTGTCCGTATACATTCATCAGACGTTCGTGGAAAGTATTTCTTTACTAAACCTGTGCTGAATAATCAAACATATCACTCAAAAAAGAAAAAACACAACCGAAAACATTATTTCAATCCTCAAAAAAGCAAAAGTACGACATTCGCTTTCATAAGACAACTCGAAACACTTTTCGTATGACACTTTCATCGATTTTATTCATCAGTCGACGTTGGAAAAAAGTAGAAAGAAAAGAAATGTTTTGCTTCTGCAACGCACAAATAAAAAGACTCTGAAATAAAATATTTTTGTTGACAATTTTTTCAAAGTAACAATAAAGTGATTATTAGTTACAATGGCCACTAGTGAATCATCGAATGACAGACGACAGAATCTTCTTCCAAAAGAAGTTTCAGATAACAAAGAAGATATTCAGTTGATTTGGCTGGATGGAAATATGAATGATTCACATGATTATCTTCTCACTCAATCTATGTTAACTGAACTCAATTCAGCTGTTCAGTTTTATTCTCATTTTGATCGATGTCTCGATCTAATCAAATCAATCAAACATGAACAAATCTTTCTTATAGTTTCAGGTGCTTCTGCTCAACAAATACTTTTACAAAGTCATCATTATCGATCTTTGGTTGCTATATTTATTTTTTGCTCTGAAGATCAAGATTATAAACCATTAATGGAGGAATATAATAAAATTACTGGGATATTTACTAAACAACATGATTTATTAGAATCAATCAAAGAAAAAATGAATGTAGTTGAAAAACAAACATTAACATTTAGTCTTTTTGATCAAAAACAAAAATCAATGAAAGATTTATCACAAGAATCAGCTTCATTTCTATTACATCAAATGTTAATTTATGTTCTAAAACAAATGTCACAAGATCAACAATCAAAAAAACAAATGCTCGATATGTGTCGTGATTATTATAAACAGAACAAACAAGAATTAAAGAAGATTAAAGAATTTCAAAATACTTATACTCGTGATAAAGCAATTGAATGGTATACAGATGAATGTTTTCTTTATAAACTATTAAATAAAGCACTTCGAACAGAAGATATTGAGTTACTCTTTACTTTTCGATTCTTTATTATTGATTTATGTTCAGCAATTGAACAAGAAAATCAACTTTTGAAGAATAAAGAAACATTAACTTTGTATCGTGGAACACAAATTCCAAATGAAGAATTAGAAAAAATAAAAGAAAACATTGGTAAAACTATTTCAACAAATGGATTTCTATCAACATCACGAAATATCGACGTATCACTTGGATTTATTCATATAAATGCTCAATCAAATGATTTTACATCTGTCCTATTTGAAATTAAAGCAAATCCATTATTGAAAACAGTGATTTTTGCTGATGTTGGAGATAGAAGTCGAATAGAAGGTAAAGAAGAAATTCTTTTCAATCTCAATTCACTTTTTAAGATTGTTTCTGCCAATTTTGATTCTGAACTTCGTATATGGAAAGTACAACTGAATGCAACTGATGAAGGTGCAGAAAAAGTTGAAGAATATCTTTTATTATCGAAACAACAGATGGAAGAATACACACCGCTTATTTATTTTGGCCGACTTCTCATGAATGAATTAGGTCAAGTAGATCGTGCAGGAAAATATTTTAACATGCTACTGAAATCACTTCCACATGATCATCCTGATATTGCAGCAGTTTATAATAATATTGGATTAGTACATATGATGAGAGATGAATTGAATTTAGCATTGAAAAACTATGAGATAGCTTATGCGATGCGTCGAAAACAACTGCCGTCAAACCATCCTCACATTGCTGGTTCACTCAACAATATTGGCCTTATTTATAAAACAAAAGGTGATTTAAATACAGCACTCGATTATTTGCAACAGGCTTTGATAGTTGACGAAAACTTACATCCAGGCAATAATCTAGGAAAAGCAATGACAATTGATAATATTGGGAGAGTATATACGGATAAAAAAGATTTCGACACGGCTCTTACTTACTTGTGTCGTGCTCTCGAGATGTTTAAACATGTTCTCCCTGATCAACACTCCCAGACAGCAATATGTCTCGGTTCAATAGGAGATGCTCATGAGAAGAAAGGTAATTTATATGTTGCTCTCAGTTATTATCAACAACAATTAAATATGGAAGAACAATGTTTACCCTTCGACCATTCACATCTTTCAATTCATCTCAGTTTGATCATTGATATATATAAAAAGATGAATGAGATTGACAACGCCTTAGACTTGTGTCAACAAAAACTTGTTATTCAAAAAAGTAGATTGGGTGAAAATCATCCTCGTATTGCTCGAACATTAATGATCATGGCTGATTTAATTGAGGACGACAATTACAACGAAGCATTACAATACTATGAACAAGCTCTATCTGTATTGGAGAATTGCACACCATTGGACTATCAACTCACTTCTGATTGTTTGACATCAATGGCTTGTTTATATTCCAGTTATGATATGATGGAAGATGCACTACGATGTCAACTTAAAGCACTTGAACTCTATCGTCAAACATTGTCTTCTGATCACACTGAAATCGCAAACACCTTAAGAAATATTGGCCTATTGTATGAAAAAATGAACAACTTATCCAAAGGACTTCGTTATTACAATGAAAGTCTTTCGATCTATCAAGCTAATTATGAATCAGAACATGAAATGGTGAAGAGAGGTGAAGCAGACATTGCCGAATTGAAAGAGAAATAATTGGCACTATCATCTTATGAAGAAGAATAAAACAAATCCAAGCAATAAGAACTCATCTACTATCGTTAGCAGTAAAGAATGTTTAATTCAATGATCAGTCTTACGCAAAATAAAATAAGAAATAAGAAAATAGATTCTTTTTAAAAAAAAAGTAGTAGTAATAATAGTAGAAATGTACACATGACTTTGTCTCTACATCCACAAATCAGTGAAGATTTGACAAACATCAAAGTATATGTAAATAATAGTATTATTCAGATGAAACAGTATCTATGTAAAAAGTAGCTAATATTTTCAGTTTTTAACTAAAATATTAATGATATGCAATAATATTATCCCCACACAACTCATACTTTAGATAACAAATGAAATAATATTTTCTTATTGATAGAACTCTATAAATATTATTCTATTAATGTTAGACTCCAACAAATGACAGTTTAAATAAAATCAATTTAAATAATATTTTATTTTTGTTGTGTAAGCCAATTTTCTTGACGAAATTCTGTCATAGATAAATAAATATATGTACTGAATACGCAGATAAAGATACAGCTGAAATTCAGAACAAAATAATAATCAAGTCTCTTTCCTTTTAAATTCATAGTCTTATTTTAAATAATTTAAAGATCATCATCATCAAATTTAACTAATGATGCATTATTATTCTTATCAATTGAACCAAATAATGTTATCATATAATGTTTCGTTTTATCATTTTCATCTTCATTTACTTTTTTTTATTATTTCTAGCTACTTTTCGATATGCAGACCACATAAAATCCATCATATTATATCTTTGTTGTGTTTCAGTTAATTCTCGAGAGTGTGAATGTTGTTATTTTATCACTTAAACTCACAGTCTATATTTATATCAAATATTGTTGAGGTTATGTACAACCTATTGGAAATACAATCAATGTCATTCTTTTTTTTTGATTGATACCATTGAATGAATAAATATACCATCATTTTTCATAAAAGTTTAAAAATTTCTGGTGCCATCTACCAATGTGTTTTTTACTAGAGGTTATTGGTAGAGAAACAATTTTAAGTATGAAAACAAAATGTTCTAAGATACATTACATACCGTAACCGTTTTTTTTTCTCAAACTAGAAAATGTCTTATTTACGACGAAAACCTGAAGATGAAATTTGGTATGTACATTCGCCATTAAAGAAAGGTAATCGTGAATTAGTAACAGCTCCTCCACCATCTCAAATTCCATATCTCAATGGTGTATTCGATGATGAAGCAACACTTAATCAACCAAAAGTTATGTATGTTCGAGATACTGATACAGATTATATACGACGATGTAAATTAGGTATTAGCCAAAATTTCCTCAATCATGTTGATCCAGCAACACGTAAAAGCAAAGAACCGGTGCCTTATCCACGACCACTTTGGTGGGATGGTTTATGTGAACATAGTTCAACTGATGCTGATGGTGATTACCAACAAGAAGGTGCATCAACGCAACCGAAACAAGCACTTGGCCCTCCTGCATGGTTTGTTCATAGAGAACATAAACCTTCTCCAGATAGACGACAAGAAGTACCTTCAAAACAATATGACTTACCAACAAAATCTAAAAAGAAATAATTTATCGAAACATATAAAAACGGACAAATATAGATCTTTTTTTTTGTTAAATTAAATATAAATTTTTATTATTTTAACAAAAATTGAAAACTGTTTGATGAATTCAAAGAACTATCGATGATAAGCACGAATAATTGTATAGACAAAACATTTTTTATAAGTATAAAACGAAAATGTTTGTTTCAATTTCATGAATACAATTTTTTCAGTCATAGTATAAACATAAAATTGTTATATAATATTTGATGGCGGGTACGAAATCTATTTATATGATCATGAATGATAATACTCTGTTGCAATTATGGTATATAACTTATTATATATCCGGTATTTTTATACCATTTATAATTATCTTTGGTTTTCTATTCAATCGTTTTAATATCTTTAATACAATATTTAGTATATTAGCATGTATTCTTCAATTCACAATGTTCTTAGGTTTAAAATTACATAATCATAAATCTCTCTTTATGTATTCAACAACATTTTTAACAATCATACATTTTTCTACACTTCTTTATCTTTTTCATATGACACAAACATTAACAAATAATATTCGATATGATCTTGAGAAAGATATTACATGTAATCACAGTGAATGGAAATATAATATACAAATTAAGATTTGTAAGTAATCGATCTATTCTTAAGAAACAAAATAAAGATCATACATAGATCAGTGCTGCCAATTAGATAGATCATTCTCAAATAAATCTTTATTATATTTTCAACAAAATTTTCCACATCATTGTTACAATAAAAATACAGCGTGTTGGCCAATATTTCAATTAATGTCATTTCTAACAAAATTGATCTATTGGCTCGCATGGTTTTTTCAATGTATTTTACTAATTCTTGCTTGGATTTATTATTATCGAATAGGAAAATTAAATGAACAACCAAGTATATCACTAAAAGAAACTTATACAACAGTTTTATAGTAAAATCCTTCTACATATTGCTACATAATATCGATCACAATGTTCTCGAGAGATACATTTTCTATATACTGATCTACCATTATCTTGTACGAACTCCATGGAAATAACCTTCACATGAAACTATTCTTTAAATAAGATTTTAATTAATTTAATAAATTAAAAAAAGCGAAAAATAACATAAGAAAAATGTTTAAATAAGATAATTTTTTTCTAGATGGCGACATAGATTATGTCAGCTGTCAAATAAAACAACAACACGCATTCAAAAAAATAAATAAATAAACAATATATTATAAATCAACAAAAATATTTTATTTATTATTATTATTTTCAGATCTACTTTAGGATTATTATTAAAAGTTTCCAAATATCAATTTATTTTTATTAATAAAATGAAATTATTAGAAAATTCCAAATTAGATGCGATTAGTTCTACACTATCAATAGATACACCAACTTGTGATATAACCACTCGGTAATTATATATAAAATAATTATTTCTAAAATTTCTCTTTTTCATTTGAATCAGTGTGGAAAGTTATTCATGTAAAATGGCCGGTGATCCAAAAAAATTGTATAAACAATTAAGAAATGAACCGGGTACAACTCCATACGATCTTGAAATTCTTGGTCCATCACAAATTCAATCACCGAAATTGAATTATACGATAATAAATTCTCCACCACAAGTTATGTATTCAAATTCAATAGCTCGATCGATATCAAGTGATGATGAATCACCAATATATAAAACAATACCACGAAAAACACTTATTTTTCTTATATCAACATTAAATGCATCATTTGAGCCGGATTATGAATTTAGTTCATGTACTAGTCAAGATTTTAGTCGAGAAACTAATTTAGAAGTATAGTATTTATGTTTAGAAATAAAATATATTTACATAATTAATTATAGTTAGTTAAAAATGCTGTTGATTCACGATTACTTTCAACTATGGGCGATTTTTATCGATCAATATCACCGCAATTATGGTCCGTGATTGATGAAGAAATCAATATAAAAGAAAGTGAAATATTTAGGTAATTAAATAATTAATTGTTAAAAAGAAAATTTAATAATTTGTCTTTTTTTTCAATAATAGTTATCGCCCTGATGGAACATCGGATCCATTTTCTGAAACTGGAATTATATGGTCATTTAATTTCTTTTTTCATAATAGAAGACTTCGTCGTATTCTTTTTGTAACATGCCGTGCTGATTCGAAAACATCAAGTAATCATGAAGATGATGAAGAACCATTAGATGTAAATAATTATTTAACATTTGAAGGGTAAGATATAAAAGAAAATAACTCAAACTGACTAGTGTCCATTTCAAAAAAACAGGCGGGTGAGATGATTTCTCTAACTACTTTCCAAAGACTGCTAGTCATGAGTAAAACGTTCACCCAGTTTTGTAGTTCTTGATCAGAAGATTCTAGAACACTCCCGAAAATGAACGAACTAATATGGCGTTAATGCGAGACATACTGTGTGTCCAAGAATTTCCTGTGACAGCCTTTGAGAAGTAGTTAGAGAAATCTTCATCTGCTCTTTCTAACGGTGCAAACCCGCAGCTCTCTATCTTGTCTCTATCGAAAAATACTAACCCGCCTTTTTTTTTGAAATGGACAGTAGTGCTATCGAACAATGTAAATCTAGGATAGTATTCATTTTTCTTTATTTTTAGAGTTATGGATTAATACAAACGCGCTTATGATTCAAATTCATTTATATAAACTCTATTCATTTACTGTCCGGTTGTGTACAGAGAATATTATTTGATTATCATTTGTTGTCAATGTAGATTTATTGTGAACTAGTGATCCGTCTCCTTTTCTTTCTTTCTTTTTTTCAGTAACACTTTATAGGTTTTTTTGCTTTGCTTTTTCATTATTATTTTTCTTTTTGTACATTCTGTTCGACATCTCGCATATATCAAAACAACAATGCGTGTTTGTCATTGTATGTTGCCCGTACTACTTTCCTTTGTAATATAGAAACATATAATGTTTGATATTACAAAGAATGACATCGAACAAAATCATCTACCATCCTTAAATAAACATTAACATATGTAGATAGAAATACAAATAAATAAAACTAGAAACAATTAATCATATGTCTTACTTAAAATTTATATCGATGAATTATGTGAACAAATATCTGACTTATTATTTATTTATATATAATATCAACAAAATCTGACAAATTGAATCAAAGAAATATATATATATGTATACATGAAATCAAAACTAGTGAAAGTTATATTAATAAAGAATACGAAATCAAAATATTTAATAGAGATTCATCGACGAGTTGGAATCTAAAATAAATAAATAAAGTTTTTTGTATTATTTCAAACATTTATATGAATATATCATACTACTCGTTTAGATAGACGACGCTTATGAATAAGATCATTAGTTTTATTTCGACCCATATCAACAACAGTATGATTACTACTATGATTCTTTCCAATTTTAGGTGTTGATGTTACAATCTATTAAATTAAAATAAATTAAAATAAAAAAATAAATCTTTAATTATTTTACTCGTGCTACGCCATTAATATTTTTAATATTTTCTAATTGAGTAAATTCAAGTGTATCATCTTCATCATGATCATTTTCAGTAACTTGTTCTTGAATTGTTTGTTTAACAATATTTCGAAGTGATTTTTTACGTATATTATTTTTTGATAAAGTACGTTGAGGAACAGCAGTTGAATTTACTGATGATACCGTTTTAGATACTGTTGTTGTTGTCGTATTCGATGTAGCATTATGTTGCTGTTCAAGAATTTGACGAATTGGAATATCATTAATTAAAAATTGTTCATTTATATGTTCTTTTTCCCATTGTTCAAGTGTATTCAAACAAGTTCGTTCAGCTTTTGGTAAAGCAATAGCAAATCGTTTACGTTCTGCTTGTTCTTTTACTGCCGAATAACCACGTTCATGAAAACGTGCTGCGGAACTCGATTTTTTCTATAAAACAAAACTAAATTATCAAAAAAAAAATCAATATATTTAATTATACTAGAAATTCAGTATGTTGTTGTACAAGTAATTTCCATTGTTCAAAAACATCAATAATAGGTTTTCGTGCACGACACATATCATCTAAACGATCATATTCTCGATCGCATTCATCAAGAGTTTCAGGTGTAATATTTTCTATAAATTTCAAAATATCATATATTTATTGCATAGAGAAAAAAATCGATTTTATTCTTACCAAAATCAATTACATGACGTTCAGATAAGCCTATTTGATATTGTTCATAGAATTCTTCAATCTTCTTACGCATACTTTCACAATATACTTGACTAGTAGCCATTCGTTTAGCTTGTAATTCACTAATTTCATTTTCTAACTAAAATGATGTAAAACAAACTTATTTTCGATTAAACTCCTCATCAAACTATACCTGTTTCACTGTTTCCGCATTATTATGTCGTAAAATATAAGCAGCTGAACGTTTTGGTGGTGTTGCATCGTCTCTTGCAAGTTTTGTATATAATTTTTCTAATGTTTCTACAAGTCTATAAACATATTTTTCTTGTTCTTTAGATTTACACTCAAGCTTAATACAAAAAAAATCATTCAATAGATTTTATATATAGGTTAGAAATATACTTCATTAAGAAGAGATTCAATTTGATTAAGAGAATCTGTTGTTAAACAAGATTCATATTTTTCATCAATTAATTGACATGCAATTGAAAATTTATCTAGTTTAAAATCAAGTTGAGTACATAATGTATCTAAACGAGTTCCATATGATTTAATTGTTGTAAGTCGTTCGATCTAATATAAAAACATAAAGTGATAACTTATAATATTTTCTCTTATAATACAAACTTTTATAGTCTCTAGTGTAGTTAAATAATCTCGTAAATTTTCAATTCGTTTAACTAAAGTTTCATCTAAATAGAATATTGATATATTTTATTAAATTGTTATTTTTATTTACCTGGAGTAATTTCCATGGGTGTGGCTGTAAGAATTTGACATAAAGAACGTTCATTTTGAGATAATTGATCTAATTCTTTAATACATTTCTCTTCTTTAATATCTAATTCTTGATGTTTTCTTTCAATTAAAATTTCTTTTTGTTTTAATTTCATATTTTCAAATTCTTCCTTCAAAAGAAAAAAAGATAATAAAACTTGTTTTTTCTCAAAAAATTTCTCTCTTACATTAATATCATTTTCAAAACCTGTTCGACTTAATCGATGTTCATATTCACGTAATGTTTCAACTAATAATTGTTCACGTTTAGTTATATCTGTTAATTTTTTTGTTTGTATACGATCTAATACAAACTTGAAGAAAAAGGAAATTGAAAATTTCTTTTTAATGAATAGACTAACTCGTGAAAATTGTTCAACTTTATTATTTCGTTTAATTAATTGTTCATTATTAAAACCAAGTTGTTTCAACCATTGATTTGTCCATCGATCAATCATTAATGAATCGATCGGTAGAGTTTCTGTCATTATTCTATCTACAAGAAAGACAAAAAAGAATAGTTCCATATTTAAGTAATAATCTTCATTTTTCTATTTCATAATTGGTTTAGTATGTGAGAGGATATAATAAAGTAATTGAGGAAAAAATCGACGAAGATAAATAAGAATTGATGTAAGATGACTAACATAAATTTCATGTTTACGATTTGCAATACCACGAAGTATATCACAAGCATATTTCGATGGATCAGGTTTTGAATACATTTTTCCATATTTTAATACTAAATCTTCGAGAGCATTTGGTAATATTGCTGTTCGAATAAAATCGGGACAAACAATAGTAACATCAATATGATCTCGAGCATGTTCTAATCGAAGACAATCAAAAAATCCACGTAATGCATGTTTAGAAGCTGCATAGGATGAATATAATGCTGAACCAACATAACTTGCAATTGATGATACAACAACAAAATGTCCTTGTTGACGTTCAATAAAATGCTAAAACTTACATTTATTATGAAAGACGATTAAAGAAATATTTATTTACTTCTAGAACTGTTTTACTTAATGTAATTGTACCAAGATAATTAACATTCATTAATCGTGCATCGACATTATAGCCTGTATCTTGAATAGAATCTCGATGTGATATACCAGCATTATTAATTAAAACATCGATTTGACCAAATCGTTCGAGAACAAGATCAATTTTTGATTTAAAAAAATCATGTTGTCGTTCAAGATCGAGTGGTAATACTAGACAATGATCAGAATCAAGTTGAAGTTCTTTAGCTAATTTATGCAATTTTTGATCTTGTGTTCCTGATAAAATAAGACGTGTCGTTGGTGAATGTCGTGCTAATTGTTTAACAAGTTCACGACCAGTATCTGATGATGCTCCTATAAGAATAGAAGTTATCCATCACTGAAAATAGCAGTTGCTGTTGCTACCAATATTGGAAGCTTTCTATGGATTTTACTGATCTTTCCATCCACTTCCAAGATCTCGACGTCTGTGTTAAAGCTTTTTCTTTGTTTTAGAAAAAAAATCTCATATTGACTTACCCGTAATCCAAACAACTTTATTTTGAAAATATTCCTCGATATCAACATGTGAAGGATATAGCCAATATGTCACCAATAGAATAATACCGAAATAAAGAAAGATTTGAAATAAAATTGCCAAAAACATAATCTCTACAAACAATAACATAATGGCACATTGTTAGTTCTTATTTTACTTCATAGAGAGAAAAAAAATTCAATTTGTTTTTTTTCTTCTTCATACACAAAAAAAAGACAGAAAACAACTTTTACATTACATAGAGATAAAGCAAAAATATATTTAAGAATTAAGTTTATCTATAAATAATTGAATTTGATTAAGATCAGTTGTTAATTGATCAAATGAATTTTTAATAATATTATATTGTTGATTATTTTCTTTTAATTTTTTATTACTACGTAATTGAAGAAATTGATTTAGACGTTTATTATTTGTATTTAATAATAATTGTCGTTTAAGATTTTGTTTTCGTTGACGATAATGAAGTATCCAAAGTGAATAATATTTTAATTGAAGATAATGTTCACGTCTTTGTCTGAATTGTTTTTTAAGAGAATTTTCTAATAATTTTTCACGTAAATTAACTTCTTGATTAGATTCAATAACAATCGAATGTAATTCTTCTTGTAAAAATTCTTCAAAAAATAGATTTGATAAAAGTAAAATTCTTTTTAAATGACTTTTTTTTAAATATCGTCGTGATTTTAATATATTGGTTGTTTGTTCAAGCGTTAAATCATGTTCAGTGATTAATTGTATACCAGTTAAAAATTCAAGTAATTGTTCATTATTTAGAAAATGATATTTTAATTGTAATTCTTGAAGTATGAAACGTTCTTCTTGTGCTTGAAATGAATTTTCAAACCAAATGAAAAAATATTTTTTTGTTAAATATTTTTTTCGTTTTCGTTCATTTTCTTCATTTAAAGTATCACGTAACATTTTTTGTTGAAATTCAAAATCATTATAATATTCATTTGCTACAGAATTGATTTCATCGAAAATAAATTCATTGAAAATTGTAACTGTTTGACTTGTTAAATTATTCCATTGAGAAATTAATTCACTAAAAAAGAATAGATTTTTTAAATATTAAATTTCTTGTTTTTCTTACTCAAAAATAGTATAAGTAGTTTCTCGAATGAATGGATCAACCATTTGTTCGTATAATTCATCAGCAAATACATCTATTGAATTTGTTGATAATCGACGTGCAACAGGTGGTGGAGGTGGTGGTGGTGGTAGTTGTATTGTTGGTTCCGTTACTCTAAGTGATGGTTTCGGAATCTGGGCAGGTGCTAGAATTGGTTCGGCAGGTGATAATATACGTTGAGTATCTCTCGGTCGTTGAATTTCAGATGAAAATAGTGATTTAGATGTAGATGGATATTGTTGAGTTGATGAACTGAATATTCTTGTTTGTAAAACTGGTTGAGTAAAAGGATTGAGAGTACTTCTTAAAAAAAAGGAAAATGATTGATAGATAAAAAAATTGATCTTATGTTACGTTGGTTGTGAAGTTGGTGTTCGATTTGAAGTGAATCCATCAAAACGAAATGGTGATGATGCTGTTGTTAATGCTGGCGTTGTTATTGTTGTTGTAGCACTTGCAAAAAGATTTGCTGATGAAATAGGCCGAGATCTAATTAGCTAGAAAGATAATGAATAGTGTTCACCTTTTTTTTTTAAAAGTAATAGAATAATTCAATACTGTAAATGTATTTGCTGTTGTTGTTGATGCCATTGATCGAAGAGCACTTTCAGACGGTGGACGTCTAGGAATTAATGGAAGTTGAGATCTGTGCTGTTGCTGTTGTTGTGGTTCAAATGTTGGTGGTGGTGGTGGTGGTCTTCGTGACATCATTTGATCTATAATTCATAATTTCAATAACTAGTTTTTCATTTTTACAAAATCTATTTACTTAATCCATCAGTATCAAATGGTAATTTTCCAACAAAACACCCTTGTAAATCAAAACTATCTTCAATATTTGTATCAGGAATAATAACTGGCGTATCACGAGATCCAGTAATAATCTTTAGGAAGTAAATAATTTTGTTTTTTAACAATATTTCTTATTTTTTTTGTAAACTTACATCTTTTAAATTTCCTTTATATTTTGATCGAACTAATTTATAAGATAATTTATTAATTGGTTGTTGTTGAATTTGATTATCTGTTGATGATATAATAATACATGGTGGATTAGAATTTGATATTGAATATCCAAGTTGTTCAAGATAATCTCTTGTTTCATCATCATTATCCATACCAAGAATATCTGTTAAATCAGATAAACGAAATTCATCAGTATTACGTATCGATGAATTAAGTGAATTAAGACGTTTTAAACGTATGATAGTAAAATATCGTTGAAGTAAACATGATTGTAATAATGTTGCTTCATTGTCAATCAGTGAAAAAAATTTTGTTGTATTATTTAATAGTAATGATCGATGAATATTTAATGCAATTTTAACTTCTGATACTTGAGTTATATCTTGTATTAAACGACGGATACGTCTAAATATAAAGAGTGGTTATTCAATTGAAATAAAAATAAAGTTCTTACAATAAAGTTTCATTATCATCTTTTAAATTAATTAATAACATATATGATGAAAATTCGGCTATATTTCTTAATGATTGCATATTATTTTGTTGTTTATGTGTCAGATAACACTCTCGTAATTGATTAAGACAATCAATTAACATTTTTTCATTTAAATTAGGATCAAATGAATCACGTGAATATTCAGATAAAAATGCCGAGCAAAATATATGAAAACGTGCACATTGTTCAAGAATTTCAATAGCTATTTCATCACGTAAATGTTGTTGAGTTAATTCCTAAAAAGATGAAATTTTTTCGCAATATAAAAAAAGATAAATTTACTTTTCTAATAGCTCGTAAACGATCCCAAAGAAAATTATACCAATCACTTTGTTCACGTTCTTGATCAAATTTATCCATTATATTTGTTATTAAATAATTCATTGTATGTAATAAAGCAGGACCTGAACGAAGATCATATGCTGATGGCATAGCCTATATATATATATATTAAATATAATCTAATACCAATGAAAATATATAAACAAACTTGATCAGCTGAGGCTCTTGAATATTGTGTAATCATTAATGAATGATTTAACTAGAAAGAAAATTTTAATTTAATACAAAAAATATACATTGATTATTACAACATACAGCTCGAGTATCTGGATCAAATTCATATGGATTTAATAGACGTTGAAACTCTCGAGTAAGTCGTTCTCGTTCACAACACATATCCGGACTTAATCCGGTTCGTTGAGCAGCAATTGCATCAAATGATGAACCTTTATTAAGTTCAATGTCTAGAAAAATATGTTTTAAAATTACATTTGTCAATTGAAAAGAAAATATTACATTTTCGCCAGATTTCATCACGAATATCCAATGATTTGATTCTTTCTTGAAATGTAAGTGCTCGACGCTCTTTAAGTTGAGCTACAAGTGAAGCTAATTGATCATTCATTGCAATACAGGTTTCTTTTTCGAATCAATTATCTGCGAAACAAGATGGATAAATGATAAAATATAGTAAGATTCTATTTAAATTACACATCCATTTTTATATGAATCAGACAAAGAGAAATGATTGAATCTGTTCGATTTGTTATACGAAATAACCAGTAATTCGTTCATATCAATTGATTGTCATAATCGTATTTAATACAGTATTTTACTAAGAGAGAAAAAAATTCAATTCAAGAACAGATATTTTCCATAGACTTTTGTCAGTTTTATGAAACGCACATAAAATTGATATGAGCGCCCTCTATCACAACTATTTTACTTATGCTATTTTCGTTCGATTCGTTATCGAAACATCAGACATATTATGAAACTGCTTTCCAATCGATTAGATTTTGTCGTTCATATACATAAAAATATTGCACAATAAGTAAAACTAGATAATATTTGAGTTTTACTCGATGATGGGTGAGATAAATAAAATACGCCCACACCCACCCGATCATTCTTGTTGCTTAGTTATTTAGAAATACAAACGATTAATCATGCACTTTGCATGAACTTTATACGATTAAACATGAAAAACAGATACTTTTGTGTTTATAAATGGAATCCATGAAGAGATGTAATTAACATGTCTCACAATTAAATTATAAAAGATCAACATTGGTGAATGGTTTTCTGAATGACAAATAATCGTTCTGAAATGAACGAACTTAATGCAAAAGATTTTAATCAACCATCAAATTGGTCTAATATAAAATTTTCGTTATATCTTGTTGGTGAAGCATTATCTCTTTCATGTTATTTATTTATTTTTTTACCATCTTTTAACAAAAAAAATAGCACGTACAAATTTGTACAATTCTTCAACATTACTTGTATTGATTTTTAATTTCATAACTCTTATAGTAGATAAAATGTGCGTGGATGTCGTTATGATCGATGTTGATGTCACTCACACCCATACCCTCAGTTTATAGTCTTACATTTATGTGTAAGTTATTCCTTTTTTATTTTTTACAACTTTGCCTCTTTTTTGATTGTTTTACTCCATGATTGCTATTTAAGGTAAATTTTTCTTATTTTATTACAGTAAATATTCTCATAAAGAATTAGAAACATAGATCTGTCTGAGAAGGTTGTCTATACACATACGTATGTGTCTGTATTACTTTATCAGTTGGCTTTCTCTATTACGTTTTAATTATGTACATAGTTGTTCTCTGTATCTACTCGCGAGCCACTAGAAAATAGAATTAATTTAAAAATAAGTGAACAATATATTCTTTTATTAATTTATCAACTGTTCGTTATAATTTCTTTTTTATAATTTCGATACTATCTTTCGCAATTTTTATATGAGGATGAGTTGGAGGTAATACACGTTGCCATATGTCCAGAGCGCGTTCATAATATGATTGTGCTTTCGAATAGTCTTTCATATTATAATACACACCACCGGTATTGTTGTATGAAGTAGCCAACAAAGGATGATTTGAAGGAACAGTTTTTTGTAGAATTTCAAGTGCTTTTTCGTAAAATAAAAGAGCTTTCGAGTACTCCCGCGTATTGCAATACGCCAACCCAATGTTGTTGTATGAAGTAGTCAAATCAGGTTGATTTGAAGGAACAGTCTTTTGTTGAATACTAAGTGCTTGTTCGTAAAATGAAAGTGCTTTCGAGTACTCTCCCATCTTGTCATACACCAAACCGATGTTATTGTATGAAGCAGCCAATGAAGGATGATTTGATGGAAGAGTTTTTTGTAGAATTTCAAGTGCTTTTTCGTGAAATGAGAGAGCTTTCGAGTACTCCCGCGTATTATAATACGCTAATCCAATGTTGTTGTATGAAGTAGCCAAATCAGGTTGACTTGAAGCAGCAGTCTTTTGTTGAATACTAAGTGCTTGTTCGTAATATGAAAGTGCTTCCGAGTACTCTCCCATCTTGTCATACACCAAACCGATGTTGTTGTATGAAATAGCCAAATCCGGATGATTTGATGGAAGAGTTTTTTGTAGAATTTCAAGTGCTTTTTCGCGAAATGAAAGAGCTTTCGAGTACTCTCCCATGTTGCTATACACACCACTGATGTTGTTGTATGAAGTAGCCAATGTATGATGATAGTAGGGAAGACTTTTTTGTAAAATTTCAAGCGCGTTGTCGTAAAATGAAAGTGCTTTCGAGTACTCTCCTATCTTGTCATACACCAAACCGATATTGGTGTATGACTGCGCAAAATCAGGATGGTTTGAGGGAAGAATTTTTTGTCGAATGCCAAGTGCTTTTTTGTGAGATGAAAGTGCTTTCAAGTACTCTCCCATCTTGTTATGCATACTACCGATGTTGTAATATGAAGTAGCCAATTCAGGAGGATTTAAAGGAAAAGCTTTTTCTTGAATTTCAAGTGCTTTTTCGTGAAATGAAAGTGCTTTCGAGTATTCTCCCATACTTTCATACACGTTGCCGATGTTGTTGTATGAAGTAGCCAGTTTAGGATGATTTAAAGGAAGAGTTTTTTGTTGAATTTCAGCTCGTTGTTCAAAATACCAAATAGCCTTTTCATAATCACCTTGATTCCAATGGACACCTCCAAGCTGATTATAATAATGCTGCTTTTCACTCTCATCAGATGTCTGTTTGAGTAATACATTATAAAGTTCTTCAGCCTTATTAAATTGACCGATTTCAATCAATAAACCACCCAATCTCTGCCATGCAGTGCCACCACCAGCTTCTTCTCGTATGCGATCAGTAAGTAATCGCAATTGTTGATCATCATCTGATGTCAATTGTAATTCAACTTGATAAAGTTGATTGTTATTATCCATTCGTTTAATTGCAACCAGTCGAAAGACAGTGTGCATCGAGAAGAGAATTTCATCTTCTTCTCTAAAATAGCTCAGATCAGCGATGGCGGCAAATGGTGCTGATTTTATAGAAGGATCAATAGACATAATAAATAGAATGCCGACCGTCTCCGCATTTCCCGACGCACTTAAAGTAAATATGAGAGGTATGTCTTGGTCTGTACTAGTGGACAAAAAGTTGTTGAAAGACAATAAACCACCTTTTGTTTTTTGTAGTTTTTCAAAATTTGTTTTGGATAGACCTTGTCCTCGATAAACTAAAAATGGTTTGCCATGATAACTATTAACCTGTTGTTGGTGTAGTTGTTGAATTTGAAGATGAAGATCATGAATAAAGAAACCTAGATTAATAATGGTATCACCTTCCATAGAGCGAAGACTATCGTTGAGCATAGAATAAATAAATGATGGGTAAGTATACCACCAAATAGCTGATTGAACACTGTATTCTTTTTCAAATCGGTCAATATTGTCTGACGACTCGGGATTATTCTGACGACAGTAAGTAATAAAGTCCTTGATGGCCTGGCTATTATGTTCCATATTAAGAAGAATTTCTTTGAATAGCTGAGTGTACATAAATGTTGGATCCAATTGGTTTAAATTATCAGTTGAAGCTATTTCATTTATTGGAATAAAACTCACAGCAATTGAGTCTTGATGGTACTGTTTAATACCCAATTGTAATCCTTTGCATAAGTCATCGACGTTGGTATGGACACTCTTGATTTTTTGCGATTTTTTTATCAATGTTTCAGGTAGGATTTTAGTATCATTAAAGATATAAATACTATGCAGCTGAGGAATATTATTGATGAGGGGCATTATTTCTTGAGACATAGTATCCTTGACAACGAGAAAAGACTTGATGTCTTCTTGAGCATCTGTAAGGTAATCGATACATTCATCTCGTTGTCTAAAGACATTCACATTGTCGGTGATGGTTCGTGTTTGTATCATACTATTTTCATAATCTGTGTTAGTTTGATCCGCACCCTCATCTAACCAGAGAAGTGAAAAATTTCGGACCATCCGTCGCCTTTGTTGAATAGCATCCGATGATATTATGGTCGTTTTGTTGTTATTCATGGATGCGTTTGATGATAAAGAAGTTCTTGAATAGGATCCTGATCCACTCGTTTGGTCTAATTTATAATTTGATGTTGAATATAAGCTTAGTAGTGGTGTTTTTTTCAGTCTTTTCCAGCATGCAAAATGTGTATATATTTTTCTCAAGACTCAATGAGAAACTTCAACCAGTTACTTTTAAAAATACCGTTGTGAAAAGCGAGAAACAGATCAGTACAAATAAATTTCTTAACAATGTTTGCGATAGAACGAGCTTATTTCGTTTTATCGTTATTCTTCCCAACCTTTCTGGTTTTATCTATGCAATCATTTCAGTAATTCAATATACCACCTACACTTTATCATTTAAATGAAAATAAAAATCGATTCACTCAGTGAATGTTGCTTCTCTTTATCATAGATTGTTTTGTTGTTAAATGGCCGCAAGAAATTTGTTAGAACAAAAGAACTATATCAGTAAACGAGAAATAGTTATCAATTTAAGAATATCGTAGGAACGATTCTACTGTACAATGTCGATCGAAAATAAAAGTGTCGAAAACGTTATAAAGTCAAATAAAATGACGAAAAAGAAGAACATTGAATAATAAAAATGTAGAAAAACAAGAAAATCCAAAATACATATTTGATAACAATCAAAACTTTTACAGCGCCACTCACACCCACGTCTTTTAACTAATATATTGTCTACGATATGGTATATAGAACTGTACATGACTATAAGAAATTGAATGTTTTTTTCTCTCGTACTGGTATAAATTTTTAAGATTTTTATTACATGGTACTGATATTAATTTACGTCTAATTATATTTTCAATATTCTATCTGCTTCTCGTGATCGTAAAAACGATTCGATGATACTATTTACTTCTGCTCAAAGAAAACAAATTATCGACAAGAAGAAATATTACCGATACTCAGTTATTAAATGAACAATATTTGTTAACAATTGAATATCAATATCTCAGGGCAAAGACAACGGCACTGTAAACAGCCTTAAACGGTAGAAAATCGGTTCCAAAACGTAGTCGTAATCCGTCGATCCAGAAATGTATAGAAATAAGGGGAAATACGACTAAAAATAAGGCAGTAAAACGCCGTTCCTGACAGCCGGAATGGTTAACATGGATATGGACGATATTACTGTTGTTGAAGTTTTATTAAATGTTAGACTTTTTATGAATTTATTTTCGATTGCTCTCATAGGTGGAGGAGCATGTGTCTATGTCATATGTATGCTCCCTTTAAATACTAAATTTTCTTTTTTGTAATATTAAATAAATAAGATCTCATTATTACTACTATATCATATGTTTATATAAAAAAACGACTTTTGACATGTATACGAATATATTGAGAATCCTTAATACGTAGAAATAGTGAAATAACAAGTCACAGAATGATGAATGACTAACAGAATAGAGAGAAAAGAGTAGATACAATGTTGCATTCATAGCTTCTATCCTAATACCATGTCTGGCATTAGAGTACTTAATATAAAGTCAATTACGGCTTAAATATTTCAAAGCCTTATCATCCGTATTATGGCATGATATATCTGTTACCATAAAGAATTGTGAAGATGATAAACCTCTCCGTTTATTCGTAGAAAATCACACGTTATATATAGAGCGATGAATATCAAACACTAAAAACTATCTCAATGGGTGAACAAAGAAAACGAGATGAGAAAAGTCCTATCACATACGACAACATAAAAGGAGAAATCCATAAAGAAGAACGAAAGGGAAACAACCAACAGACAAATAATGAGTCACACGATAGATGATATGTACATATGTAATTGCAGAACGAAAGAAAATATACATATGACGATATGAAACAAATGGTGATAACACCAGCTAACAGAATGCAGATTTTCTTTCATTTTCTCATGTACTACTGATATCATTCAGTATTTAAGAAGTGAATATTGTGAAGAGAAACATGATTCTTGTTTTATGAAAGAACAGGAATAAAGAATATAGAGGAGTGATAATAATCTGTACACATTTATTCATCAAACAGTCTCCTGCATCGTCGAACAAAAACAAATTACAATGCAAATCATGAATAAAATGATTTCTTGTGTCATCATTTTGATTACAGCATTATATATATCACAGAGTGATGCAATTCAACGTCCCACTTTCATTGATCGTCTCAATCATTTGATCAACAAACGTTCGACTGAAGCTAGTACTTGTCTTACCAACGCATTTAATGATTACAAACAGGCTGTTCAAAGAGCGCTTCTAAAGCATAATACTGATATTCAGACAGAACTTCAAAAGCACAATACTCATCAGAGAGAACTTCGAAGGTACAATCATGCTCTTAAACAAGCACTTCAAAAGTACAATACTACTATTGATGCTTGTAATACTCCTCCTCCTCCTACTACTGCGGTTGCTTGTATTAATTCTGGTGCTTGTACTCGTGATGCTGACTGTTGTGATCGTAGGTGCACTACTATTGATCCTTCTCCTCCTATTCCTCCTGCTGGTAGTTATTATATCTGTGGTCCCCCTCGTATTCCTTGTGATGGTAATAGTTATTGTGTTTGTGGTGCTCCTGATTCTCGCTGAATCAACTAGGTATGTTGTCCCACTATAGAGTTTCGATGGTAATCTATTGTGCTTGTTTCTTTGTAGGACGCATGTTGGTACAAACACAAATCAATATCAGAAATCCTACATTGCTATCAACCATTATCAACGTAAGAAAACATTATCAGTTAGTTAACTTCTTTCTTTTATCTTGTCGTATCATTTACCTCCTCCGCATATATTCTTGCTTATTATTTCTCTTTATCTTTTCTGATTTTTTCATAATTATATATTTCAATAAAATAAACGTTGAAAACATATTCTACTTTGCTTCCTGAAAACAAACCAAATATTTACAATAAATATCAGCAACGTCTCATTATCAGTATCAGCACAAAAACTATGATGATAGACTTTGACTTTGTTCTAGAGTGTCTCATCGGACAGCAGATTACCATGTATTGATCTTCATTTCAATAGGAAAGAATAATAAATCCTTCGATGTTTCAAGCAAAAGTCTATCTCTTAAAAATACAATGATTTTTTTTTGATTTGATATTCGATTGTGTACTCTTGTCAGCTGTTATCTAAACTGAACAACTAATAGACACTATCGAGTAAAAGCTTCATTCAAATTTAAAATAAGTTCTCTACTGAAAAGAGCAAATTATCTTCATAAAATTGACTCACTCAAACTGTCTTTTCAATAATTATCAAAAGTCAACATTTCTTAAGGGTGTGAGTGTAAGTATCAGTCTTTTCTCTTTGCACATCAATACTCACCCACACCTTCAAATATATATAGTTTATAACGAAATAATATTTGAAAAAGAATCAATTGTATGAATTTATTTTAAATAGTTTCTTCATTTATATGATTTTCTTATAATAATTTTTGTCGATTCCATTGGGTCCATGCTATCGCAGGTACATCATCGGGTTCTGTTTCCGGCTGTTTTACCCAACGTCGTCGTTGAGCAAATTCGAAGCAACCAAAGAAAACTGCTAACATCAAATAAGCAACAGTAAATTTCCAACCATCATCATCAGGTTGTTCTTTCAAAATTCGAAAACGTGGGGCATTAATTAAACCCCTAAATGAAAACTTTGCTGCTAATATAGACCATATAGCTGCTCGAATAAATTTTCTATCAATCATATACATAAATATAGCTGTTAAAAATATACATTGAAGAACACTTCCACTAGAAAAATTTAAAAGACCAGGATATGAAAAGGTCTTTATATGTGCAGTAACATTACGATTAAAATCCGCATCAGGAACAACAAATTCTCTATAAGCACCTGAAACACCATCTATTATTGTATCTTTAGTCCAATCAGCTATAATAGGCATAATACCAAGAAGAAATGCTGGATAATGACGTTGTGGTGTTATTGCAAGTGTCTCAGAATAAATAACCAAACCAATAAATATCTAAATTTATTTTTAAACATTCTCTTTTGTTAGAAAAAAAAAGTCAAATTTTAATTTTAAATTAAATACTAACAATAATTGGATTGACTGAAACAATAGTAATAACTGATAGTAGTAATGCATGGATACCAAAAAAACATATTGGTAAGAAGGCAATACCATTAGCTATTGAATAAGCTTGTTTAGCACCCATTTTCTTAAAAGCTGGATGACCAATAAATGCTAAATAAAAAAAAGAACTTTGTCATACAAAATTCTTCAATTTTTCTTACTTGTCATTCCAAGAATTGATCCAGAAAAACTTCCGATTAATGTTCCAATTCCATCTACAAACATTGATTCACGAGTTGGATAAAAATCTCCAGCTCTTTTAGCTGATTCAACACATTGTATTGTTCCAATAGCAATTGATATAGCCGTTGGAATTACTGTTGATAAATATGAAGTTATTTCATGTATATGTGCAAACATTTCTTGAATTGGAAATACTAATGGATAACGTTTAATAATTGCTACTGCTTCTTTTACGTCACTTCCATGATTTAATGATGTTGCCCATCCAAAAATAGTACCAACAACAAGTCCAACAAATGCAAATGGAACTGGACCAAATTTAACTAAAATTTAAAAAATAATTGAAAAATATTTCTCTTTTCCTTTTCCTTCAAAATCTACCTCCAGCAAAGTAACCAAGCATAACTATTGCAAATGGAATAAATGATACAATCGGTGATGCGGCTACTGGTAAATATTCATTTAATGCTAAATAAGTAAATCCAATACCAGATATCGATGAAAGAAGTGCCACACTAGGTGTATTTCGTCGAATAAATTCTCCAACAAAACATAATACAAGAAGAATAATTCCTGTCATGAAATTGCTTGCCAATGCCACATGCCATGCTAAGTTTTGACATGTATGTGGATCATTACGACTCTTCATACAACTGGAATAAGTTGGTAATATTATACTGAAAATAAATGCAACTAAAAAAAAGATAAACAAATTTATTTTATTACTCAGAAAGAAACAATAGTTTATCTTACATGCTCCTGGTGTATTTATTCCATAGGGCATTGTACATACATCACCACGATTTTCTCTATAAGCAAGTTTTCTTGCCATATATACATAATATAAATTTCCCCACAACATCGATAGTGATACACTAAATAAAAATAAAACAATATTTATTTGTTTTTTATTAAATTGATTTTTACCCAGGAATAATTTTTCCATAGATAAGTTCATCATTAAATACAATTTTAAGAGCAAGAATAATAGCTACTAATGTTGATAAATTATTCACAAATAAAGCAATAAATCCATCGATATCACCAACAGCAAACAATGGAAATTTCGGATTGGGTCGAAATGCACTGATCCATTCTTTTGGATGAAATGTAAATAATGTTTTTACTTCTTGTCTTAATTGATTATAAGGTAAATCCATCATTTCAGTAAAATTAACATGATTATTTGCTTGTATTGTAGGTCTCACAGTGACAGCAGATTCACCAATAATTGAAGGTAAATGTTCTGTTGTATTAAACGAAGTCATCTCAATAGTATCTGTTGAAGCCATCTCTATAGTATGTATTTCTGACTATATAAAAAAAGATATAAAAAGAAGTAATATACAATATCTTTTCACTATTTATACTAAGATGTGAATATAATAACATCTCATAATAGAAGAAGAACGAATGTAAATATTTTATATATAATACGAAGACATATTCTTGTTAAATGTAAGAAGTTATTATTAAAGATGTTTTTATTATTGTGTTATTGAAAGATAAAAAAGATAACAACTAAAGAAAAAGAAGGATCTTTGTATTTTCGTAGAAAACTTCTAATGATGTATTTCTGCGTGGTCTCTTTTTATATTATGATACAGCAAATAACATCATTAATTATTTATAAATGACTTATATTAATTTATTATTTTTCTTGTTAAAATATTTTTATAGATATCAAACATATAATGAGTTGAATAGAAATAAAAGGAAAAAAGCGTCATCTATCGAAATATCAAACTTAAATACAGAGCTATACAACTCATTTGAGTGTGTGGATGAGAACGAAAGAGAAAAAGAGACACTTAGACCCACACTCACTGTATACGTGCTGAAAAATAATCTGCGCGCATCTGTATCCACCTCTGTGCATAAAAGAAAAAACTTATTCTCCGTCTTTTTGGACGAGCAAAAAATAATCTTTATCGTCCTCTAAGGCAAGATAAGATACTCTCGGTCTCTCTCCGACCACGAAAAAACAACCTTTTTTCGTAGAATGCTCGATGTGCGTGAGAGTGTGAGTGCGAGTGTTGGTTAATGCCAACAAAATATACTCTCATATCCACACCCACACGATCAAGATTTGTTTGATTGATAGCAGTGTTTCGACACTATGATAGCAGCCTGCGTTATCAGCTCGCAAATATGCATATTTGAGATTAAGATCTAAATAATTATAAAATATTTTATTAAAAGAAGAACACATCGTTAATCATAGCGTATACAATTCGACATATGTACTTTGTTTTTTCAATCGTTTAAATATGTCGAGTATTATCGTGATTACAGCACGGTTATTTTGAGTACATTGATCAAATACGTGTACAAATATTCGATGTTGAAATGAACGATCTGATGATGAAGTGGGAGGAGATTCCAGAACTGATGATGTTGATTCAGTTTTCTGTACGCCAATTAAATATGCAATATGCCAAGGTAAACTACGTTCAGCTATATAAATAGAAACATTATTTAAAAAATAAAAACTTCACTGGTTCAATTAGATCAGTAGAGCTCTTTCTTATTAGCTATTGAATGGGTAATATTTTGTATAATTACTTCCTTGAAACTACTTGAATCTCTAACGTATATGTTATTCTCATTACAACTTTAACAGCGACTATAAGGCATTACTCCTGTATAATTCGATCATATCAAGATCTTTCATCGATACTAGAGGACTATCTGGTCAAAGTACCCAGGTCGAACAACCCGGCTCGGAACTGATCGGCTCGGGCGACTTCCTGACGCAGTGTTCCGGATCGGAAACTCTCGAGGGTATTCATAAAAATAGTCGGGAAAATAACCTGCACTTTCCATTGTATACCCGGAAACCTAGAGAAACTCTACAGATCTTGAAAAACTTTTGCGACTATTCGGTAATAAACTTTTCCGTGTTGATTTCCCTAATAACACGTGTTCTGTGAGTTTTTAGAAGAACGCTTGGGTACTACGAGACTTGTCTTATTTTCTTAGACTGTACTTTCATCATGTATGCGTGACATCTGTTTATGTCAAATTTATCAAGTTCAAGAGTGATTAGCGTCACATGCTTGAAGAAAAGCAAAGACCACTCTTTCGTTTAGTTTTATGATATAGAGATCTTGATCAGCTGTTGTAACTGACTTTGCATAGAAAAGACAAGATAGAAAAAAGATATTTTGAAAATAAATGAATTTGGGTGTGAGTGTGGGTATGGGAAATGTAAGTTGAATTTGTAGGAGAATGGGTGTGGGTGAGGATGAAACAGAAAAAGAGACACTTACACCCACACCCTCAATTAATTTTTCTAAATTTGGAAAACAACTAAAAATAAATTGAAATAGTGGTGGACTTGTACGGGAAAAGATCAATGTAAAATTGGTACACAAAGGGAGTATTATTCTACCTGGCATCAGTTGTCTAGGTTCTGAATGAATTGTAATACCAGCAGCTTTAATTGATTTCACTGCCGGAAGACAAGCACTTAACTCAGCAAAACTACCAAATAGAAGAGATGACAACATGAGATATTCAATTTTTGTTAATTTTGATGGTCGATTCACCCACATTCGTTGGAAAAATAGATCTCCATTGTGCTCTAAATCAAATCGACAACGTTTCAAAGAAAGAAAACATTCTTCTTCCTCAAATATCATTTGAATTAAATTTTGAAGGATCTCTGCAGAATTTTTCGTCGATGATCGAAGTTCTAAAGTGTGAAGACTTTTCAGTTGTGCAGCTTGTGATATTAAATCATTGAATTTAGTGCAGTCTGCATTGGTATAGCATTTTATATTGGGGACAATTAATGTGTGAAGTTCTTTGTAGGCAATGAGTGGATATATGGAAAAAAGTTGTGAAAGATTATGATCAGATTTTGATGATAACAAAGCAGCATGTAATTTTAGTGATTTAATATTTGATGGACTTAGGACGACTTTGCTGTTTTTGGCTGATTGTTCAAGGAGGAATTTTAAATCTTTTTCACTCACCAGACTCAAAGTATTTTTATTTTCTGTTTGTGATAGGATACTATTGATTCTCAAAGTGAGACCAAAAAATTTGAATAATTCAAGAAATAATTCGACAGAAAAATGTTCTAGTGTCGTCGTTAGTGAGCTATTTGGCATTTTGTCAAAAACGTTTTTTTTCAATAACCACACATGCCACTTTAACTGTCAGTTTATAGGAGCATGTTTATAAATGCAAAAAAAAGTAGTGGAGTAAAAATCTCCAAGAGAATGAATAAATTCGATTGTTTTCTTCCGTTTGAAAGAAAGAAAAAAATTGCAAGGAGTGTAGAGAGAGTGAGTCAAGAGAAAAAGTCATTTGGAATTTTTTTTGTGTTTGTTATTAGGAGTCATGGAGATGAAATGAAAAAT